GAATTAGAAATATAACTTTAATGAAATTCGGGAAAATAAGTTTAAATGAAATGCGGCATAAGTGTGTATAATTACGAGACCGTACGCATATTTCACAAGTGCACATCAGCGTAGCCACTGAGGGAGGAGTTTCGAAAATGGACCAATGAGCTTCTATTGGTCTTGTGACGCTAAATCTTCGTGCATGTGAGCGTATGTTGTTTACGTTTTAATTTGTATTTGTTTCGCAATTATAAATGTATGGTGTAATAGTACAAAATCCCGTAGTGCTTTCGTTTTATGAGTTTAATTAATCGCTGACATTTCACTTTCACGATTTTTATCACGCATTAACATTTGGATTGATGTTCACTGCATATTATCGCTTTTGAGGAAATGACTCAAGGTACAATTAGCCTCGAATATTATGCATTTATTAACACCTGTGGATTAAAAGAATTCAGAAGTGTAAAGTTTTATTTTAATTGAGCTGAGAAAGGCGGGAAGTGTTACAATGAATCTAGTGTTTTCTTATTTGAATGCTTGCATTCTTTTGATTTTTAAAGTGTAAGATTCAGAATACATATTGCATATGACCTGAGTATATCCATTGTTAACATTAAAAGTTATATGTGAATAAATTGAATATATTCGTTGTGAATAAATTGAATATATTCGTTGTGAATAAAATAAATTTATTCTGTATGATGAGTATTTTCTTGTGCAGACAAAACATAAGAGTGAGCAGTTATTAAACGTGAAATTTAACACATTAAATTTATACAAATGAAAAATTGGGAAAGTTCACTTTGAATAAGATTCTGCATTGGCTATTATTATAGAACATCTTTTTCATATAGACTGCAATAAAAGTGCTGACTTCTATTTACATATATTATTGGTGTAAATATTTTTTTCATATGCTTAGCTTTATGTAAAGATAGCATTTGGGTTTAGATGTTTATAACATATTTCTTTCGTCATCTTATTTACCACTTATTAAGTAATATTTCAGACTGATAGTTTTGCTGAGACTCCAACGTGTGTTTTGTTTATTTAAAATTCTTTTAGCCAGGCAGTGAAATCTTCGAAATTGCCTATAGGTATTTGATCTAACTTCGCAATGAAAATTTTCAAAAGAAATCGACGATGCTTTAATTATTTTATTACAGAAAATTGCGTGGCAGAATATTTTCTTTTTTAAGTCTTAAAGCACACGAAAGATCATATAACATGATAGAAATATTACTGGATGCCCATTCGTCCATCCTAAAAGCCACTCCCTCGGTGGCTACGCAGATGTGCACTTGTGAAATATGCAGACCGTACAAGGAATTCCTGTGGTGACCACATCAGTTTTTTTCTTTAAAGCTTTTATCATAAGAAAAGGAATTATGGGCCTCTTCATAAAAGATGCATGCGCGATTAACAAAAGTATTAAAACTGGCAGAAATATTAAACTTTGGAGCATTTCTATGCAACCTTTTATTGTAAAATCAGATTTAGCATGTTCTAAGCGTGGAGGCAAGGTATTTCTTTTCTCATGCTTCAATAAACCTGACATTTCATGCCAATCAATTTCACGTTTTATGAAGTCCAACAAGGCTGATGCATTAATTTCCTCATTTGGTTTTTTTACTTCAATTAAATTCCAGTAGGAATTCTTCTGGAATAGCTTTAACAACACCGATAGTAATAACTGACCAAATGAATATTTCGTAAAACCTTGCGCTTCTAAATTTCTAGCTGCAGTTTCAATTGCATCATATAACCTATATATAGATTTAATATTATTTGAATTCCTTACTGGTTCTAGATTTAACAAATTTCTTCATAAACAGACTAATTATTATTTCATTTTTCCGAAATCTTTCCTTCAGAGTTACTCTCATCATAATTCGTTTCATTTAATGCTAATGAAGATACTACACAGGCGCCCTTACGTACTTTGCCATAATCAAGTCAAATAAACCCATTTGTTTTCACTGAGGAGAATCCATTACTCAATTAACGCCTCCTTTCTATCTACCCTTAATATGATTAATATTTACTTTTATTATTCATTTAACGCGCTTTCTTTATAAGGTCATGGAACGTTCCTACTCCAGAAATCACATGACCAGAAATATTTGCCTACATACAGTCGTTTTCGAATAATATGAAATGATCACATGAAATGTAGCTTACTACAGTTTAGTCTCTTGAGATTTATTCCAATGTGGTGCATCTTTGGAGGCAAAGACTTCTGTACTACCTTTATCTACCGAGGTGGTGTCCCTGTGACTGATTGCCCCTTCTTTTCAGATAAATACGGTCATCTGATTCCCAAACTTGCTGTAACACGTCAGACAATAATATATGAAGCGTGCAGTTGATACACGTGAAGCATATTTTCACTGATATCATACCAAAAACAGCAACTTTCTGTTTTTCTGCATTCGGTAGATGAAATTTGAAGTAAGGTCCCGAAAAGAGAAATAGATATTGGTATAATAAAGTAATATTGTGCATCCTATTGTTTTGTGAAAAGAAAAAGGATAAATATTTGTGTCCCATTTCTCGGTGTTGGTTTTAATCTCATTAACCGTTAGAGTCTTAAAATCGACTTTATAATATAACAAAATAAAAATTAAAAAATCAGCATTTATAAATTTTAAAAGAATAAATTTCTTCCCTTTTGGTAAACTAGTAAGGATGAAATATAAGAACGAAATGTGCGAAAAGCGTGAAAGAAACACTCTTAAGTTACGCTGTTTCTGAATTTATGAATTTCTCTTTTGCAGATCAATATATAGTGCACAAACCAGCGCTGACTCATCGAAAATTCCAAGATCAATGAATGTTGAGCGTTTGTTGAAGAGAAATTAGTTAACTAGACGTTGAGATTTGCATTTTCCAATGAAGTCGATGAGTAAAAGTGAAAGCGCTGCAATATGTAAACACTATTCATCTGACTTAGATTACAGTTAATAAAAAGACTGCAAATATAAAAGTATTTTAGTTTTGAAGACATGATTCCGAAGTCTTTAACCCACTCCCGAGGGATTTACTGTCAGCAGACGTGCTAATACAGGAAGCATAAGAAGTCGAGCAGAAAATAAACATAATTGGGAGAAAGCAACTTTTCGGACGGATGGCTTCACAAATTGTTCAAGAAGAAACAGAATATAATATGTTAGACCAAAAACAGAGTGTCAAAATCAGTTTCACTGCAACTTGATTCGCGAAGTGCTTTCATAAAATGAGCTTTTCACGCATTTTAAAAAGTTATGAAAATAACAAAGTTTTAATTTGCGTTGATTTCAGGTCGCAAACATATTTTGCAGCCATTTGCAAAATTGTATTCGGTTGGCCAGTAAATCCTGTCTTTTTTTTAAATTAAAAATTTTTAAATTAAAATTTTGCTTGAAAAATAAAATGTTTGGGGAAATGAGTTTTATGTACTCCATAGAGAATTGTCGTGCTCTACAAAATAGTGTGTTTAGTTTTTTTATGCTGATATTTTCGTTCTTTGCATGTTATTAAAAGGAAGCGTCAATTCGACAAAAAAGAGCATTTTCGGCATCTTCTGCTTTTTCGCGTTTAATTGAGGTGCTAAAGGCCGCAGAAGCTGCTCAAGAGATTTATGAAGTGCATGGCGAAAAAGCGATGTCTAATAAGGCTCAAAATTGGTTTAAGCTATTTCTACCGTCGAGGCATTGAACAGCTTGTTGAACGTTGGGGAGAAGTTATAAATACCAATAGAGAATACCCTGGTTAGTTTGTTGTTCTCTCTTTCGTCATTTCTTAATTCCAAATTTGGGCTTCCAGATGCCCATATTCAGGTGGAAAAGTACATTATTCAAAATTTGATGGCTTTAGCACCGGTTTCTCGCATTGTGCAGAAACCGTTGGTATGTATGCGAGGTGCAACGATGCAGTAAACGTTGGTATGTATGCGAGAAACATACATACATTTATGCAGATTCTTCATTATTTAATTTCTTTAAATATAATACAGGGCTCCAATATTTGGTGGCACCAATTTGAAAAGTGAACCAGCATTTAACCAGCATTTGAACGCAAAATGCCAAAACGAAATTAATAGTCCTCCTAGGCAAATTGTCCATTTAAACTTAAAAAAAAAAAAAAAAAAAAAAAAAAAAAAAAAAAAAAAAAACTTATGGACCAACCCAATATAAGTATACCTAATTTTAACAATTGACGTGTTATTTAAATAATTAATATCGTTATTTGATTAGATTTTGAGAAATTTACGTAAATTGCTAAAAGGCACGTAAATTTATTTTTAGAAACGTTTTTCAAGAGATTAGGGGTTGTTTTCTAGAATTTACTCAAATCTTTTCACATTCTATTTTCGTTCTTAAAGTAATTTAATAAAATGAAAATAATTTTGATAGTTTGATATATTTAATTATTAAAAATACACATATTCTGCAATTTCACTTATTCCAATTGCTGGTATGACTTATGTCATTTGTTTCATAGTAACATCTGAAGTCCATGAATTTTACTGTGGCGAGGAACGCAGGTATGCGTCTGCCTTTAACTGAGTTTTGAACATGTTATGGGTGAGATTAATATTTTGCCTAGTTCCGTCCTAATTTTGAAGGACAGCCCTGCGATTAAAGAATCCGAGGGTTTACCAGTCTTCTTCCATTACCATACACTTCAGATGGCTTTATGCTCAGCGTATATTTTAAGTTGCCCCCATGCCGCAAAGACACTATACACTTACAACGTCCCAGCCTTTATCTTAATCTACCCCGGGCTCAACGATGCAGTAGCCAGCATCGCTAACTACTATATCAACCAAGACGTCATACAAGAATTACCCTTTGCCGGTCAAATATTTTTCATGCAAAATTGTGATTGCACACAAAACATATATCATTAAAAAAATATATTATTTCATTAAAAAAACAGAAAATTATATGAAAACTGGTAGTAAGTGAATTATTTTTATCAGTTATTAACAAAACAATAAAAAATACTAATGTATAGAAGAAAAGCTTACTTACTTGAATACTTTCTTTTCTTTTACTAATATTAGATCTAAAAACAAATCGAGAAACTAAAATTACTATATATATAATGCATAATCACAATTTTTTATTTAAAAACTAAATTGTCCTAAGTTATTTCTGCGCAGTATTACTGAAAATTAATCAGTATAGACAAAAAGTAAGAAATTTGAACAAATTCCACAAAAAAAAATCCAAAAATATGAAATTCAATGCAAGTAAATTTCAAAATTCCCTATAAATATGTAAAATTAACCAAAATCGGAAGAATTAAAGAAATGTAAAATACTAAAACCTCAAAAAAAACACAAGAACAACAAAAAATACATACAAAGGAAGAGGAATGCAATCAAATTTTATATAGTGTTATTAAGAGAACAAGAGTATCAATCTCAACTGACTCCCCCCCGTATGAAAACCACTGCGTTTTTGTTATCCAAAATTATCTGATGAGCCATTGTAAATTATTTAATTATAACAATTCATCCGAAAATTTTAAATCCCTCCCCAACGAGTGTAAGAAATCCAATGGCATATCAAGCAAAAGAAATTAATTAGACACTTTTCGCTGAATTTATAATTGAAATGTATATATAAGTCTAGTATAAAATTCTAATACAAAAATACTAGTAAAATAACGAAGAAGCAATCCGTTAAAGAAATATATTAAACACAACCAAATAAAAAAATTCCAATAATTAAGTAAATGTTTTCACAGAAAATAAGATTGAAATTGAAAATAATTGAACTAAAAATGTAAAAATACAAAATATACAAGAAATTAACAGAGAATACTGAAATCAAACTACAAATTTCGAAACAAAGAACAGAAACGTTATCTTCAAAAAGGACGTACAGCAGTGCCAGTTTGGCTTCAATGGCGAAACAAACTGGCGATGGCGAGTTAGAAATCTTCTAAAAGGTTAATTAAACTCCTGTAAGAAATTTTTAATTTTTTTATAAATAGAATGTGTAAAAGAAAGGGAAAAAATAAGAAGCAAAGTTTAAAAACGTAAAATGTCTTCTTCATGGGCTTATTATGACGACTAGAATATAGTAGGCCCTCTACTAATAAAAGTAAAGTCAAGAAAAATATACATATAAAAATAGAAAAATACTGTACAATTTTCTAAAACATCCTTCTTTATCCTTCTCTATTTGAGGTTTGAGATAAAAGTTCCTACTTTAAAAAATTTTTGGGGTGTATACGATGTTTCTATATGTGTATATCTATGTATATATCACTTTTGAGTTTAATGATCAAAAAACTTAACATTAAAAACGTACGTAGGATTACATGCAATGTATTCTATATTTCAAAGACGTTCAGCAACATTTACTATTTTCAGTGTATTTCTTTTATTACCACAATGCACTCTTAATATTTGTCCATAACTTTTATATTAGGAATATGCTAGTAAATATAGTTATATGAATTTAAAATTGCGAAAACGTTTATCTTGCCAGTACTTATGTTATAGAAAATTTTAAATATATTGACATAAATATTTTTTTTTTAAGCTGTTATGTTGTTTCATTAAGAGGAGGGACTCGAGGCATTTTCTTTCGAAATAGAGTTTCCCAATGAAATTAACATAAATCTAGCACTAAATATTTAATTTAAATAGTAATAAACTGGACAGCATTTGAAAAGAAATACAAATAAAATAATAATTTACATTGCTTGTCCAATTATACATCGTTCGTCAAAAACAGCCGTAATTCATAAGATAAATCCTACTCAACATAGAGTAAAATGTAATTAGCGTATGCCATCGTATTAATAAAGTTCCACATACTCCTGTAATTTCCATATATCTTACACGTAGAGCATTTAAAACAGCTTTAAGCATGAGAATAACTATTTTCAGATAAACACCTAAAAATTCCATGCACAATGAAGAACTAATTTTAATGCAATTTCAGTTCATCCATTTAATATTATAGCATGATGCCTAATTTTATTTGACGGGGAGACACTACTTTCATAAAAATTGGTTACTTCAACAAAAACTAAATATTTAAAAAAAATTCCTTCAAGAAATGATTTTCACAAAGAAAAAATAGTAAATACGCACACACAATTTTAGAATAATTGCGTGTCTTGTCAACCAGACACTCACGTGAAAGCACATCCTCTTAAAAACGGATAATATGCATTTTGAAATAGAGAAAAAAAATTTTGTCTCATTTAGAAGGCTTAAACTTACCGAATTATCAAACTTCTTTCTGCTTGTTAGAGCCAATTGACCTGGTTTCAGTCTTCTACTCAAGTGTATATAAGCTGCTCAGATTTCTTGTTGAGCATACTTCTTCTTTCAACATCATGGTAACATCAAAGGTGAGTTCTACAACTTAATTCCCTTTCAGAGTTCTGTGTATAGTAGAGGATTAGCCATGAAGGAGCTACAAAATTTTAACTTAATGTTCAAGTATGATTCTCTGAATCGAATTGTAGAAGTTGTCAATCTCAATGTTTAGTATTTCGTCGATTCTGGTTTTAATACTGAAAATTACTTTGTTCTTTAGACTATTATAAATTTTTCAAATGTTTCGAGTAGAAATCAATTGTTTTCCCATAAGAAAAACCAACAATAATTTAGAAAGAGTTACTCAATCTGTCTTTTAAAGACGGATTACTAGAAAATGCTTTTATAAATGTGGGAAGTAGATTTTACGCCTTCCTATGTTGCAAGAAAGTAGTTTTACCAATTTTCTAGGTTGAAGTGCACAGAAAAATAACTTTTAAGGGTGATCTTGTTTATCCTTAAACTTTGATTGCGGCAAAAATGGCAAGTACAAAAACGTTTTATGTTGCCAACCTCAGAAGTAGAATTTCGGTTGTTTATACTTTAATATGTACACATTTTTAGGGTAGAAGATCGCATTAAATTTGTACGGAACATTGTGTGATTGGCTATCAATGTGAAGGTCTGGAGTTCGAATCCCTTCGAAGACACTGCTGATTTTTCGTGTTTCCTGGTTTGAAAAAACTGCAGAGTGATGTGGAATTATGGTCTGTAATAAACCTTGAGTCCACAAAATGCTTCATGAAACGTATTCTATACTTACCAAAGTTTAGAATTACTAATTCTGTTATCCATCTCTTCTGAGTTAGCTGCTACCCATAGATACTTCTAAGTTTATACATATTTCATTTTTGCTCGAGCAGCAATGCAAAAAAGTATTACCTTTTCTTACGCTTAGTATAATTTTATTCCTGTTTGCTGATTTGCTTATTCCTCCTTTTACTCCTTTTTAAAAGTCTAATAATTTGAAATGGAATTTTCCTTCCCATTTCTCGAATGTTCGAGCATTGGTCTTTTCACATCTAAACAGGCTTCTATTTCTTTATATTCGTTGTTAAACTTACTAAAAGTAACTTGCGCACTAGCCGGGAGCACTTGATAATTGAGAAAATTTTATTTTTTCTTCCTTTAATTCAGAAAGAGAAACTTAAAACCACTGAATACGTAGAAAACTAGACACATTAATAAATAATTTAATTAAAAACAATAGCTCTATTAAAGTCAAAAATGCTCACAAATTCTTTGTTAAAATAAGCGCATATACAAATTGAAACAATTTATGTAATTCTGCATTATAACATCTAAATGATTCAAAATATGTGCTATAGGCCCCTATAAATGTGTTCCTTATTTCTCCTATTTTATAACAGTTTGACGACGCAGATTCTAATAAATTGCTCTTACCCACTTTTCTGTTTCAAAACTAGTCTTTCCTACTCCTCTTTCATGATAATGGCCAAAATTTTAAGATAACGTGATTGGAAGAAATTTCACTTCTATGAAACTTGCCCATACAAAAGTTAAATTTCAATTTAGGTAAAACAAAAACTAACAGGAAATTGTTACTTTTGTCTTAAGTATACTTACTCGATAACCTGGCTAATGGAGGTTGTCTACTGTGCCAGTGAGTTCACACTCAAATTCCGAATAAGATATAAATGTTTGTAATTATGCCTTGGGGAAATGAGGTAACTTAAAATCCGCCTGTCTAAAATTCCGTACGTAATTTTGACGGTAATCAGATGATTTCAAGACGCTCGGTTTTATCCCCCGAAGGTTTTTGGATGAAAACAAGTATGGTCTTCTCTCATCATTCATAACCACGTCTTAACCCACGTCCGATTTTTTTGAGACCATCTATGACTTGAGCACTGGATTGGAAAGAGCAAATTAAGCAGCTTAACTATGAAATTTATCAAAAGGACTGATTTTAAGGACGGCAAATTAAATGTGTTTCATATTTTTTTCAAAGTAATGATAATTAAGCAATCCCATTTAATACAGAATATATATCATATGATACAAGAAAGAGGATACATGAGCCACCATACATGAAAGACAAATTTAGACAAAATTCAGTTTTAGGTTGACACTGTAGAGAAACTGCCTGCATTCATTGGGTTTTTATTCTGAAAATAGAGAAAAAAAGAACACTGCTCAGAACGCTTTTAAATCTTGAAGAAGAGGAAAAATATTTTAGCTCCTTGAAGAAAAAATAATCCGTCTCCATACTCTATATATTTTCTTATAACCAAGTACTACACTTAGATTAAATTTTCGCTAATTTTTAATTTTTTTAACATGAACTGGGAAAATGATTCTTTTACATACATCATATTATACACCAACGAAGTGTTCTCTTTGAGAAAAGCGAAATATTTTATGAATTAGTATCATACATTTGATTAAGGACTAAATAAATGAAGCAAAGGAATTAAGTTGGTTTGTTGGTTGTTTCAATATAGTAAAAGTCACAAGAGCAGTCTGCCCCGAGATCTAAGGATGTCTTCGTGGAGGACCTTCTGAAGGAAATTTGCTCGTATTCACGTTACGCATTTGCAAGTTACACCTTTTTACCGTGTGCCTTAAGTTCGAACCCAAGACTAACTACCTATATTTAGGAGTCTTAAGCGCTCGCACCAGTGGTACGATAAGCGTGAATTAGAAAATGCAAATGGAAATTTTCTCCGTTTATGCCTTTCATATTTATTAAAACTAATACAAGAAATTCAAGACGTACTCGCAAAAGACCTTTGTGACACCTAAGAAGTGGTTGGGTGTGGTGGTGTGGTGTATTTAATTATGGCAAAGCACACTAGGGCTATCTGCCTAAGGGGAGGGATGTCTTCGTGGATGACTTTCTAAGGGAAACTGGCTCGTATACACGTTATACATTGGGAAAACCTCGAAAACACCCATGCAGCCAGCCCGTTCGTGGGATTCGAACCTCGAACCGAACTACCAGTGTGCAGCGACTTTACCGCTCGGCCGCTGGTGGGCCGACACCTTATGAAGATACTTCTAAGTTAAACAGAATAAACAGATGCCCGATAGAGCATTTCTCAATTATTTTTATTTTTATTATCTACAACTAATGTTTCTGAATACCGTGAACTACAATCATAGCAACTTTTATTTAACATAGTTATGTTAGGTTTAAAAGTTTTAAGGTATCCTTCGTCATAAGAATAACAGTTGTAGACAGAATATTATTAAAATTAAGAAACTTCTCTGTAGTTTATTTTCAAGAACTTTATCATAAGAAGTAACTCTGTCTGGAAAATTTTAAGTCAATGAGCATTGCGTGCCTTTCCAGAACTAATAGGCATAATTTTGAATTCCGCTTTTGTCAAGAAATTGAACTGTCTTTTTCCTTCCTTTTCAATTTATGGATACGTTTCCTTATTTTTTTGCCCTAATTCCTATTTCCGACTAATTATTTTTCTAACTGCAATAAATCTTACTTAAGGCCTTACGTTAACTTTTCTTTTCGATTTTAATTGGTTTGTTTTGTTCCGCTCAGGTAAGGGATAAACATTTTAATCAATATTTTAAATACTGAACTTGTTTAATTACCTATATTTTTGCTTTAATTTTAAAGAAGAACTTTCAAACAGATCCTTAACGCATTTCGCATTAATACAATATGAAATCTTTTTTTTTTCCATTTTTAAAGATCTTTAAGGTCATTTTTATTTCTGAGAAAAAATATTCTTAGAAGAAATATTCCTCTTGGAAGTCAAAATTTTTACAAATTAAAATGCAAACTATTTTATAAATTGAAGCAAAAGTACTATTTTATAATCTAACTTCAATTATATTAATATATCAAATCTTACATTTCAATTTCTATAGATCTTTAAGATGAAAGCATCTGAATATTTTTTTTTTCATTTTAGCAAAAATACTATTTTATAAATTAAATTACAATATGAAATGTATATACATAATTTATATATTACCTGCAATTGAGCGATTTATCTATTAATTTCACCAATATGGAACACACACTGCACCCATAAGCTAAATTGTGTTCAAATGTCCTTAAGAAGAATTTGGTTTGTAATCAAGCTTTTTATGAAATTTGAATACAGTGCTGGCGCTATAATAAATGTTTAGGTAATAATTCTTTGTTAAATAAAGGGAAGATTTTAAGCATAGCTTCAATATTTCACAAAATTTGAAATCTTTCCTTGTAAAAGTTATAAACTAAGAGAAAAAGGAGATTAAATAAACAACTTTGTTATAAGATGCAAAGAAATACATTTCTCCTCTCTATTAATTCGCGATTTTAGTACTTTTTCACACTCGAATGACTGGAAACATTCTCCTTAAGCATTCAACAGGAATCACCATGCCTAAAAACAGTTTCATCGACCAGAGCGTTATCCAGAGACCAGCACATGTAGTAACCGGTACCGCATCTGCAAATGAGGGGGGAGGGATAACACATATGCAACCATATGTTAGCTGAGAGTCTAATCTATATCCTTAGTTTCGAGTTAGAGGTCAATCTTCGTCAGCCATTAACCGTCCAAGTAGGTCGATGTTATTCCCCCAGTTCAAAACGGTACAACACGAAATATGAAGAAAATTCACGATTGCCTTTAGTTACTGATTTTTTGAAGGTCTGTTTTTCTCTCTTCTGGCCAAATTATTAAAAATGTAAAACTCGTTAATTAGATTTCCAGATCTTTTTGCTTTCATCAAAATGAAGATCTTACTATTTTCAGTTATTAAACTTGCTGTTTATTTCTTGGTTTGTAGAAAAAATGGTTTTATGTATTCTCAAACTATATTTATGATCTAACGTAAATAAAAAAAAAATAAAAAATTTGCAGCTATCCCCACTCTACTCCATGTTTAAGCAATAAGATCTGCAATAAAGTTGAACTGCACACTAAAATTTAAGATTTTGTTTTGTTACTGAAAATGAAATTGAAATGAAGAGGCCACAACCGCTTCAAGTAATTCGACATGCTTGAAAAGCTACTAAAATTAACAAATTCAGCAGGAGTGATATTCTACATGCACCCAACCATGAAAAATGCATTTTTATTCAGATTCAGCCCCATACATCATAATCAATTATTCTCTAAGTAACCAGTTTTTATAAACCGGTGCAACAGCATGGTTATTATCACAGATGTGAATTTTCTTCATGCATTATATGATCAACTCCTTGCCATTTGATTCATTCATTGTTCGCATAACAGCTTCTATAAGGTATTAATATCCGCGTGAGATTTCTTGCACTGAAGATAAACCACTTGGTTGAAGACGAGTCAATCTCTGTTGCTGATACGTTTATGTCAATGCAGCAGCTAAATATAAATTTAAAACATTACAAAATACATACGGTACAGTTTTATCAGCCAACTTATTTTACCAATTGATAATGCAATCCTCAGAAGACAATTGTAAGAAGACAATTAGCAAGAACTGTAAAAATTCAGCGTTACACAACACTTGTGACTAAATTATATTCCATTACGTCTAAATTGAAATTTCTTTTTCAGATGTGGGTCTCATGGGCAATGCTCAGCTGCTTGATTCTCTCAGTTTCTGCAGGATATCTTAGCCATAGAGGAGGAGGAGGCGGTTACGGTGGAGGTGGCGGCGGAGGCCATGGAGGCGGTGGAGGAGGTGGTTATGGAGGCGGAGGAGGGCACGGAGGCGGAGGTGGTAATGGTTACGGAAGTGGTGGAGGAGGTGGCCATGGAGGAGGAGGTGGATATGGAAGCGGCGGTGGAGGTGGTCACGGAGGCGGCGACGGTTACGGAAGCGGCGGTGGAAGCGGTTATGGAAGCGGTGGTGGAAGCGGTTACGGAAGCGGCGGAGGAGGGGGTCACGATGGCGGCGGAGGTGGAGGTGGTCATGGCGGTGGATACGGAGGCGGTGGTCACGGAGGTGGATACGGAGGAGGTAATCATGGAGATGAGGAGATTTTCATTGCTGTACCCGTTAAATCTGGCGGAGGAGGAAGTTACGGAAGTAGCAAAAGCGGTTACAGCGGAGGTGGCAGTAAATATGGAGGAGGCAGCAGCGGATATTCTCTTTCCAGCATTGGAAAAGGTGGATACGGTAAATATATATTTTAGTTAAAACACTTAAATTAAAATATTCTAAGAATTATCGATAACACTTGTTGTAATGTAGAAAAATTAGAGTAATATTTATTATATTTCTTTTTCTAATACTCATATTGATCTATGTATTGAGATTTCTGAGTCAGAAGAAAAAAGATTGAATCAGAAGAATAAAATCTTATTCAGTGATTATTTAGATAATAAATTAAAAGAAAAACTTTAATGTATAAACATTTCAGAGTTATACAAGACCGACACGTATTTATTTTATTAGTTCTACTGAAATTTTCCTAAAACGTCTTGCTGCGTCTTCAATAAATGGCAGCATAGTTTAAGATGCTGATACGAAAATTTAAGTACAAATTAACCAGTTTATTTACATAAGTACAAATTATAACAAGCATGAATAATTGCTTTGTTTATTAAATTTAAGTGCATTTTATGTATAGTGTTACATGGTCATTAATAATGCACTACGCATCTTTTATTATATTATAAACCTTAGAAGAAAAAAGAATCCAATATTCTATTGAAATTTGTCCAAATAAAGCCGGAAAGCATTGTTTTAATTATCATACTGGCTAGTATAGAATATAGTCACACATATAAAATGACTGCGTATTTTTTAAGATGGTTTTCAAGAAGGAATAATTTCCTACAGTAATACTTGAGCTTGCTGTGTTATTATACAAGAAAACAGCTGAAAGTTTTATCACATATCAAGATAAAAATAACTAAATCTTTTCTTTAAACGTCAGAATTAAGAGAGAAATCAGATATTATTTTTATATATATTCTAAATACTGGATTTCATGTTACGACAGGTATTGCTTCTTAGAGAAGCATTAATGAAATGAGCACAGTTTTTGTATTCAAGTCAGTACTATAGTGTATAAAATCGGAGTTTCGGAAGAAAAAGGCAGTAAAAGTTAATAACGCACTAAATTACACTTATCTTCATTAAATGCGATCTTGATCTTAATTTATAGAACTTTTACAGGTGGCAGTGAATACGGTGGAGGATATGGCGGCGGCCATGGGAAAGGTGGTGATGGTGAGGTAGCTCTTATTGGACTCAGCCTTAAAAGCATTGGAGGTGGACATGGAGGCGGCGGCGGAGGAGGAGGATATGGTGGCGGTGGAGGTGGAGGACATGGGGGAGGTTCTGGAGGTGGATACGGAAGTGGACATGGATACGGCAGCGGATCGGGAAGTGGATATGGAGGAGGATCTGGAGGTGGTGGAGGTAAAGGTGGAAAAGGAGGATACTGGTAATCCCTCCAAGGTAATCACTCCATATGATTTATAATTTAGAATTTATTTCATACCTTAGTTAGTAAGTTGTTGACGTCTTAGATTAATGATTTAACACCGACTATCAAATAAGCGTTAAATGCCAGGGTTTTTTTTTTCATTTGAAACGAATACTAAACTATTTAGTCAATATTTAAATCTTTTGGTTCAATTTTACGTCTTACCAATGTTTAGAATGCATAATTAATAAGCTCAATAATAATAAATAATTTTCTTTTTAATGCTAATCTATACCTTGCATAATCAAAATTTAGATTTTTTATTATTACGAATTCTAATTTTTTTAATATTTATTATCAAATGTATAATAACTTAATAAAAATGATGTAATGATTTTACGAAGAAAGAAAATGTTTTAGTTAGCTGAATGTAAAGTAAATGCGAAGTTCTTTTAATGATTACAAATCGCTAAAGATTAGTTTTCTCTTTGTTGTCCTTAATAGATTTTTTATCCTTAATAATACCCTATGACAGCGGTAAGATAATTTACTGGAACTCATATAAGCATAATAATTGCAGACCTATTTAAGTTCTCTGTTCAAGACCCTGAACGTTCACTAAAGCATGCAGATGCTTTACAATAGATCCGGATAGAATATTAGTATGATAATATAGATACAATATTGACCAGATAGAATATTGCTCCTCTTTTCGAGCATTTCACTGTGCTATCACAAACACTTGTGAACAGTATTCTTATACGGCAAGCTAGACCAAATGTTATTAAACAAATATATCTCGTTCTTTCAGTTTAAGTAATTTTTATGTGTATTTCATCTTTCATTTATTGTAATAACTAAGATTTTCAATGCGTCTTTAAATAATTTTATGTTATAAATTTCACATAAATTTGATATTTTTGTAATTATTACTAATAATTTATAATAATAAATTTTTGGCTAACTTCTCAATGAGATAATTTATGCTACAGTCGCAATCTGTTTTTAATTTTCTACTTCTCTTTCACAAATTTTATTACATAAAGGTTTATCTTTCATTTTTTATTTCAGGAATAATTTAATATGAAAAGAGTTTCCTGCAAACGGAAATTAAGCGACATTCTGCATTATGGGTGCTTCTCTGAGCATTCCGTCAGTTTGATCTCAACAATTAAAACTGTAGATGTCACTGGTGAGAAACCCAAGCAAACAGCTAGAAATTCGCTGTGGTGAATCCTTTTCTGTATGGTTCCTTAAAACTCATGCAGTAATAAAATGTGATTTGTAAATACCTTTAAAACAGTGTCCTTATTTTTCTTTATTGTTCTGTAATATTTAATTTTAAATAATATTTTAGTAACGTATGTAACTGCTCGAAAAATTGGTTATCTTTAACAACAGATTAACTCAGTTAAGGGAAATTAACAGTTTAGCCACAAATCCAATTAACAAAGCATATGCTACATGTAGAACTTATGAATCTATTTTTAAGTAGTAGGAGATTGGTTTGTATTTAATTTAAACATGATTCAACAATTAATGTTGAGGGATGTTTTAACTAAGTAGTAAAATGTATGAAGTGATGGTATAATTACGAAAATTAAATTATAAAGTATCGATTTCAGAACTACTAAAAGATAGCTTGAAATGCTTCATTAATTTCTATTAACTCACATATGTGATTATCATCACTTTTAACACAGCTTGAAATCTTATGAAAGAGAATAATTCCGCTAACTGAAATTTTTAAGTTTAATATCATACGAAGAATTTACAAAATGTTGTTTTTCTTTAAATATGAGATTTCCCCTTCATGAAGAAAGTGACAACTGAGGTAGACAGCCTTATATAGATGTTTTCCCCATATTATTGCTTTAATACGATACACAAACATTCATCTAATATTCATTTATTAGTGCCTGGCTTCTGGCACATAAGCCATTAGCTTTTTTGATTTACGATCCTTCTGAGCGACAGAAATAAAAACAGAGCTCTTATTTAAGTGTTCTTTGTCCATAGGTTGTTCGCCCACGAAGAGAAAACTCTGCAGAATTCCTGAGTCTAATGTAAAACACATGAACAATTATGCCCTGTCAAAAGACGGAAAGATACTGCACCTGTATCGCAAATGCACAAATTAAAATAGGAATAATACTTTCTTTTCCGAGAGACACAAGCCTTTACTTTATATTTTGTACACAAAACTGAAACTTAAATTTTAATAACTTCCAGTTTTATCAGTCTGTCAGTTAAGTTCGTGAAATTTCTGGGATTTGTAGGAAGTCTTTCCTTTCTTTGTCAGAAAACCTGTACTCTCATTTTCCTATACGCCACAATGCGCTCTCTCCCACTGTAGTACTACTGAGTCGGTAGAGGTATTCAAAAAGTGTCGAAACTTAAATACATTTTGAGTAACAAATTCAATCGTTGGCAAGAATCTGAGAGCAGATTTAAACTCCGAGAGGACGACGGCTATGGCAAAAGAGGTCCAACAACAGCAAGGCTATGACAAGGCCATGTGAATCACTTTAAATTCACCCTGAAAACTAGTGGTGCATTACATATTTTATAAAAGAAGAAAGATGTACTGCGTACACAATGTCTAACGCTTGAGTCCCTGTACATTATTGAACCGTCTGTATATATGTAAGTCCGGTGATTCTTGGGAAAACGGCTTTCAGTAGTTTCCAAAGCAACTGAACTTGTTACGGAGAAACACATTTCTTCTATAAACTCTTAAAGTCATCGAATATAACATTCACGTAAAATTAAAAAATTTATCCAAACAAGGCAAATAACACCATTTTAAACCTTAAATAATAAAAAACATGAGTTTGATTTAAAATAGAAAAAGGAAATTTTTAGTCTCATTTGTTCATCTGTCATGCTTGTTTCACTTGTCATCCCATTTAAGTACACTGATAGGCATAAAGTCATTAAATATATATCCTACGCTGCCATCTAGGCTTCCATATTTAATTACTGTAATTAAAAATCCTTTAAATCATGTTTTTCTATATTATTTATTCTATGAGAAAGTATCTCATCTTTAATCATTCAGTTTTGGAGGAAAAACTTCTTGATTTAATTCAGCTTTTAGCAATATAATTATATCAATGTTTAATGTATCAGTTGTTGTAAAGAAAGAAGTAGAGGGCGCTGCTTGGCAGTAGCGCAATGCATGTAAGTAGAAACGAAATGTCGTTTTTAGGCAACATGATTTCTGTGAAGGTAGTCCACCTAACAATAGGACAGTTGTAAATATGTAAATATAACGAATAATAAATAGCATTAGAAAACTGAACCATCGGATGTTTTGTGATTGCTCTACGGGCCGCCATGGATAAATGCAGGTTCGTCACAATGGTGCATCTTACGGAAAGTTTGGATTTGTTAAAGTGAACTTCACGAGGAAGTATGTGTCCAGACCATGCCCTAGGTAAGAGCATGATTATTATTAAATTTTGAACGTGTTTGATTTGAATTTTGATAATTTGCAGTCTTAGGTACATTTGTGTATTAACGCGAAATAATGGCAGAACTAGATAGATTAAAACGAAAGAGAACCGCATTGAGAACGGTAGTATCTAAACTATTAAAGAAAGTCGAGGATAGCTTAGCAAAGAAAGATACAGATGAATTATGCGAAGTGCATGAATTATTAATAGAAAAGAAAAGTAATTTGAAAGAATTAGACGAGGCAATTCATTCCGTAATTGAGATAGATTCTCTAGAAGCGGATGTAGTTAGTTCTGAGGAATATCAGGAAAAATGTTCTCGAGCTATTAAACGAATTAATCGAATGTTGGAAGAGGATAAAATAAGTATTAAAGATCCTGAACAAAACTTGGTTAGACTGCAAAATGTACAAAGTACGGTAAAACTTCCAAAACTAGTTTTAGAGAAATATTCAGGTGATCCTGAAAAATTTACGGAGTTTTGGAACAGTTACGAAAGCACTATAGACAAAAACGAAAGTCTTAGTAAGATAGAAAAATTCGCATACTTGAAAACATTACTTACAGGTGCCGCGAGTAATGTAGTATCTTCATTAGAATTAAATGCAAAAAATTACGATGAGAGTATAAAATCTTTAAAGGATAGATTCGGGGAAAAAAGAAATAATAATTAGTCAATTCATGAACAAACTGTTAAATTTAGAACCAGTAAGGAATTCAAATAATATTAAAGCTTTACGTAGGTTATATGATGAAATCGAAATTGCAGTTCGGAATTTGGAAGCGCAAGGAGTTACGAAAGGTTCATTTGGTCAGTTATTAATACCTGTGTGTTGTTAAAAGCTATTCCAGAAGAGTTCGTTCTGGAATTTAATCGAAGGAAAAACCCAAATGAAGAAATTAATGTTTCAGACTTGTTGGACTTCATAAAGCGGGAAATTGAATGTCGTGAAGCGTCGAGTTTATTGACGCGAGATAAAAGAAATACCTTGCCTCCACGTTTCGAACATGCTAAGTCTGATTATAAAAAAATTCACAGAAATGTACCTACGGCTGCCAGTTTCAATGCTGTTGATAATCGTGCATGCATCTTCTGCGAAAAGTCCCATAATTCATTTTCTTGTGATAAAAGCATTAAAGAAAAATTGTGTAAGTTACGTACTGAAAATAGATGCTTTATTTGTTTTCGAAAATATCACATTTGGAAATCGTGCAGAAATAAAACTAACTGCTTAAAATGCGGGTTTAAGTCGCATCATGAGTCACTATGTACGAGTAGTTCAAATCGTAACAAAGCGCGAACGGCTTCAAATCAAAACATAAAAGAATTGTGCGAAAGCTCGCGAGACAATTCAGTAGATGAAACACAAAACTCCCCAAAAGAACACACGCTTTCTGTTGTTCCTTGTGATAAATCATTGAATAAAAATGCTTTATTGCAAACCTGTTCAGTGTTAGCTCATTATGACGGAAAGTCAGAGTTAACTAATTTAATTTTCGATTGTGGTGCTACACGAAGTTTTGTTCATATTAGTGTAGTTAAGAAATTAAACTTAAAATTTGTTGGAGAAGAAACATTGTCTATTTATTCTTTCGGAATGAAATACGCAGTACCTAAAACATATAAGGTTGTCGAATTCTGTGTTTCGGATGCGAAGCAAAAGAACAAAATAAAAATCAGCTGTCTCGTCACTGACGCCATAACGGCTGCGCATATGACCACGCCGTCAAAACAAACACTAAAAATGATGTATGAGTGCGGATTGCGAATCGCTTGTTTATGTAAAAGAAGCGTTGGAATTCTAATAGGTGTGGATTATTACTGGAAGATGGTAAGGGGGGAAAAGATTCAATTAGGAAAGGAAATTTATGCGATTTCTACTATGTTTGGATGGGTCCCAGTTGGCCTTCAAGATAAAGAGAGCGAAATAGTATCTCAAAAACACGGCAATAGTAAACCTTTTTCTTCTTGCGTAACTGATTCATTGAGATCGTTATGGACTTTAGATTTGATGGGCCTTACCGATGACTCAGCGATTTCTAACGAGGTGAGAGAAATGATTCAAAGCTTTGAAAAGGAAATACGGGTAGAAGGTAATAGATACTATGTCAGTTTATTATGGAAATCGGAAGCAGGGCAATTAGAAAATAATTTCGGAGTAGCATTAAGACGATTTGAAAGTCTTAAAAATAGACTTATTAGAAATCCTGAGATTTATCAGCAGTATAAATCCGTAATTGAAGAGCAAATGAAGGAGGGTATAGTTGAGAAGTGTTCACAGGAAATAACGGAGGCATCGTATTTTATGCCGCACAGGGAAATAATAAAACCTAAGGAAACCACAAGGTTGTAGGATTGTTTACGACGCGAGCTCTTCTAGAACTAAAGGTGTAAAGTCCTTAAATGATTTTTTAGACATTGGACCTAGTTTGATCCCCGTGGTTTTGGACATAATTTTAAAATTTCGGAAATATGAAATTGCTTTCAGCGGAGATTTAGCTAAGGCCTTTTTAATGATAGGAATCTTAGAAAAGGATAGGGAATATTTAAAATTTCTTTGGTTCGGGAATAGTGAGGAAAAATATAAAGTTTTAAGGTTTAAACGTCTTCCATTCGGACTTTGCTGTAGTCCAGCAATTTTAGCGATGACGATAAAATTCCACATTAAAAAATATAAAAGCACAAATCCAGAAAGTTATGAAATGTTAGATTCCTCGTTATATGTAGACGATTTATACTACGGTGCAGACACTATTGAAGATGCATGTCGATTATCCTCAGACGCGGTTAAGATTTTTAAAGACGCTGAGATGAATTTGAGAAAATTAAGGTCAAATTCCG